CTTGTTCTAAGGCAAATATAAGACAATTAGAAACATGAAATGGACTGAAGAGATTTTAAGAAGGTTGTACCTACAGTAATTGTGTGTGATTATGTGTGAAGTACTCAGAATGGGAGAGGGTTCAGAGTGACTCATTGATTTCTGGCTTGGGAAACTTGGAGAAAAGTGATGCTATTAACAGAGAATTCAGGAATAGAGGCAGGTTGGAAGGAATTAATTATAAATTCAGTTTAACATATTTAAGAATTATCGATAGGATAAAAATTAAGGTCAATTCTTACTGTGAATTCAGCTGTAAGACCAACTTTAATCATAAAGTCATAATGTTAGATGACTAGTGCATAAATAAATTAAGATCACTACTCAGGACAAAGGTAGACCTAGGAACAGTGAGCAGGATAGTAAGCCGTATGACATTTTTAATAAATGTGGAAGAGAGGCAATTTAGTAAAGAACCCCAGCTAGAATGTGTTAAATAGTATTCTAGCCATCTGGCAAGAGCCCCAAAGGAAGACCAGCATAGAAGGAGAACAAAGGATTTGAAGTGGTACTAAGGACAAAATGGATGCTGGCCTCGCCCCTCCCCAGGTCTGTGGTTCACCACACTGAAAAGGAGGGGCACAGTCACTTAGCCAGGATGGTATTGTGGTGAGGACTTTGGAGGAGAGCCAGATGCTATAGTGAAGATTTCCTTCTGTTTGGCTCTCCAGTATCAAAATCCTAGGTGTGGTTTGGGAGGAAGTAAGAAAAAAGAGCCAAAAAAGGAGCAGACTCTTTTTCTTAGTTATATACAAAACTATTATGTCATAGATTAAGGATTTAGGGCAAACTCTAACAAATGAAATTACAAATAGGATATTAAGAATATTAGAAAAAGAAATATATCAGTACATGAAATCTCTTAAGTTTCACTGACGCGGGGACAAGCTCCAGACATTCATTTCACTATGGGTACTACGTTTCTATCCGTTGAATGCACTTTGCTATATTTGGGCAGGGGTGTTACTTGGGAGGTTGGGGGCAGGGGTGGGGTGATACAGGTTGTATAATTTTAAACAGAAAAGCCTTGACATTTATAGAAGAAAGGTTTCTAAAATATTAATTTCCACAGAAACTTTAGCAATACATTGTGGAATAGAAATCAGTAAAATTCTAATTAAAGTATATTTTGCATAATAAAATTCTTACCAATATATGTCTTTTAGAAAATGCTTGTGAATACCTTAGAGAAGTGGGGCAGAAATTTGTAGCCCTTAAACATTTCAGAAAATAATTACTTCTAAGTGCAAAAAAAAATGGACCATTACTCTCCTAGTATTATAAGTTCTACCACTTTAGCAACCTCAAAGTATTTGGAAACTATATATTTACAATTCAGCTAATATTATAGAATAGCGAATGGAGTTATTCCACCCATCTTTAAATGTCTTCCCATCTTTTTGTTTCACTGAAATGACTTTTTCTCAGGAAAATTATGAACATTATTGCAAAATTATATCTTCCTTAATATTTCTGCAGCTCTGTATTCCTATTGGGTTTGAGACCTTACTCAGCCTGTGGGTAAGACAACAGACAAGTCACTTAACCTTTCTGAGCTGCGTAAGTAGAGGAGAAACAATGACATCTACCCTACAGGGTTGTTGTGAGAAAAAAATAAGACACTGTATGTAGCAGTCCTTTGCTTTATAGATACATTAACGTATATCTGGCAAATAATTTCAGCTCAGCCTGTCAAAGGTCTCTCTTCCTTACATTCATCTTCAACTTTTATGGAAACATCTCCAATCCAGCATTAAAAATACATATTGAGTTCCTTCTTTTATGAAGCACTATGCTAGCAGCTAAAGATCCAAAAAGGAATAGTCAGAGAGAAAGGAGAAAGTCCTATAGGCTCAGCTGTCCCATTATATTTAACAGAATAGAACAACCTTGGAACAGGTTGTGCACAAGTATAATCAAAATCCTTGACATTTTTTTAACCTAAACTTTTTCTCATTTTTCTCTCTTTATGTCCTTTGACTTGCTGAATTTCAAGAATGCCAAGAGAGGAAACATGTATTTCATTCAATTAAAAATTTTCGTGAACTTGCTATAGAATATTGTACCCTCAGAGACAATAAACAATCATTCCCATCAACACATTTAAAATCATGGTGTAATATAATATTGAACATAAATATTTCTTAATATTAATAAACAAAAAGGTTGACAGAATCTCTCAAGTCACTGATTTCTCCATGGACTGCCTAACTCTATCAGAAATCCGTAAGAGCATGTTCCTGGTCCTAAGCCCCAAGACTTCACCTATTTCAGGTGAGCTTGGAAAGACACAGTGTAAAATGCATGCATAACTACTTTGCCAAAATTAGAGTCAGACTCCGTATGTCCTCTGTACCCTAGCCTAGGGCCTGCTAGGTTTTCCAAGGGTGAAAAGAGAAACAGCCCCAGACGTTTCTTACCAGCTGTATTTGAAAGAAGGGAGGGAAATGGAAAGGAAAGGAAGAAAAAGGAAGAGGAAAGAAAAAGATCCAAAATAGATGACAATTCCCAATAAAAATCATGTGGAAAAAAGAGCACTTTCCACTTCTTTATACTTCCCTCGGAAACTTTCCCCTTTATGCCAAGTTCTAGGTGTATACACATGAGGACTCCATTATGAATCAGTTACTTTTCCCTAGAAGGAAGGGACAGGCAAGGACAAGTTCCTTAGGCACAGAGTGTCCAGAGTAAGCCACTAAAATACCAGTCTAACCACTTCAATCATGTTTTCTTTTATGAAACTCAGTCCAGAAATAATGATAAAGCCATTTACAAAAGGGAAATATAAATGGCTATATTTTTAATTTGCATGCAAATATTATTTGGAGCTGCCTATATGTGCTATATCAATTAAGCTCTTGTTTTAGTTTCATTTTTGGTGAGCTAAGAGAACACAGACCTCTCCCTATTAAATGACCTTAGTATCTCTCAAGCTCAATTTTAATGAATTGAGTTGGGTAAAACACATGTGAAGCCTTGCCTTTGATGTCTAATTGCTACAAAGATGATATCAAAGAAAGAAAACTCCATATGCAGTCCTACTGGAAGCATACTTTATTAGCGCTGTAAGGAACTCTGAATTTCATGAACCCCGGTGCTTTACAAATTGCACTCTGTACTGTAGTGGAGGAGTTTGGGAATTACTGAGAGATAAAGGGATTGTTTAATGGACAGGACTCTATTGTCCCATCCCAGCCCACCCCTAACTTTCAGCTCTGTCCCACCAATGAGGTTTCTGCTCAGTTTTTTTAAGGAAGGAGTCCCATTGTTAAATATAAACTTGAAAACTAATGAACTCCTCGTTTTCTAGGCAAGGAAAGGTCCGGATCCATAATGCTTAATGGCATATCAAAGTGAACACAAGTCTTCCCATTCAATAATACTTTACTGCCTCTTTTCTAAAAACGTTTTAACAGAACCCACTACATAGAGACAGAGAGAACCTGTGTATACTTACAATATTTTATTCTATATCAAAATTTTTCATTATTATATTCTTACAAAATACTACTTGTGAATAAGAAATCAAATTGAGTCTGTCTAATAATGTAGCCACTAGCAATATGATTTAAATTTTAATTCATTAAAATGAAATAAAATGAAACATCCAGTTCCTCAGTCACACTAGCCATATTTCAAGCATTCAAAACTACATGTGGCTACTATTTGAACAGACAGCTATAAAACAGTTTCACCCCTGCAGAAAGTTCAATGGCAAAGTCATGGTGTAGAGAGTATCCCAGTACTACTAAACAAAACAGCATTTGAGTCATGTGCCACAAATGCCACCAAGAGAAACTAATCCCCTCAATTTAGTATTATAATCCCTTTAAAAAAATAGGGCAAGATATATACTTTACTCCACACTTTCTTCTATTTAGCTGAAAGTACAAATATATGTCATGTAAAAACTTTGGAACTTATCCTATCACACTTCTCAGTAGAGTCAATTATATTCAAGCATAAAGTTTATATAAGGGGAAAATATTTTTTCAACTGTAATTATTAATATTTTCCCTAATACAATTTTTATATGAAGCTAATAAAAAATAGCACTGCCAAGCTTTTTTAAAATAAGGTTAGGTAGAAATCTAGCAACTCTATACTGACACTTAAAGTTCATTATTAAATATTATTCTCCACAAGAATCAATCCAAGTAAGTAGTTTTTTTAATAATTTAAGAGGAGTTACTAGAGTAAGATATATTTGATGATTACATACTCTTCTGACAATACTCTAAAGGACCATAAAGCATTTGAAAAAATAATATTACCATTAAAAAGATTCCAGTTTAATGTAGGGACTGGTCCCAAAGTGAGTCAAACAAAATTACCTTACATATTCTTTGGTAGCATTAGTTATTTGAGTGAAAAGCATCTTAAAATGGAATTAAATGAAAAAGAAGTGTTCTAAGATAAAAGTAATATCAGAAACAGAAAGAAAGGGAGCTGGGAAATTCTATAGCAAGACCTTGTTTCCTGTCATTAATAAGGTTTTACTTAAAGGTGAATGTAAAGTTTAGCACCTTTATTATTCTTACTGGAACTCTCAAGTTATGGTTATTTCCTTGTTTAATAAGACAGGTAAGTATCTGATACTTAAGAGCTACATTATCAGATACATTAAATGCCCATTTTAGGTAATGTCCTTAGTAAAATATGTAAAGCAGTTTCCTGTGCATTTAGTGGTTATAAGATTGCATTATTTAGACCATTTCATTGATTTACTCATTTAGCAAACCTAGCATATTATGTCAGGTACTGTAGTAAGTGCCAGAATACAGAGATAAAACTGTTATAGGTCTTGCCGTCAAGCAGTTCAGTCTATTTGGGCAGACAAATTTACAAATAGACAAAACAATAGTAGTGGTAGTAATAATAATAGCATTTTTTAGCAATTATTATGTATCAATTTACACTATCATAAGTGTTATGATAAAACTATATAAAGAGTATAGAAGATACTTACCTGGCAGGGGAGATACCATGATCACGAAGGTGGTTTTCCCAGGGCGAGGCTTATCCATTGCACTCCAGGTGTACTGACCCCTGCAAAATGTGGGGAACTCAACTGTGTAACGTGTGGTAGTGGGGGACTGCATTCATGGTCTCCTCTAAGAACAAAGAAAAAGTATATAAGAGAGGATCCCTAAACCAGACTAGGATAAGGGAGGTTCTCCAGAGAAGGTGAAGCATACATTCATCTTGAAGAATAAACCTGAGTTAGCCACAGAGAAAGAGAATGGCCTTCAGACAGAGTGAGAAGTCAAGAGAATTTAGCAGGTTCAAGCACAAAGGAAAGGTCTTGGAAAGAGATAAGCAGATGGTTACCACTTGGAGAAGAGAGGTGGCTAGAAGAAGGCTAACAGTTATAAGAGGCATGGCTGGAGTCTAACTACTTCTATTTGGACTCAGTTTCAGTTTTTTATCTAACTTTACCTTTTACATGGTTTTATTCCTCTACTTTTGTCATTATTCCATTTTAAAATTGTAAATATAATTGTGGGAATTTTTAACTTATCCTAATTCTTTTGCCTTTCCCTTTGTTGTTTTTAGCTTCTTATGTATTTCTTTTCTATTATCTTAACTCATATTTCTCTAGGATGCAATCTTAATATATTCCCATATTTAAATCATTTTTTCATTGACTTATGTATACAGTAAGGAATGTGAACAACATAATCTGGAGAATATCTGTATGAGACTCTTGGCAGTTTGGAGGCTTTCTCCTTCCTGTCCTGATCATTCCTCTACTCATATACCCAATTCCTTCAATAACTGTATCTGTCCTCTCAGAAACCCATCCCACAGCTCAGTTCAAGATGACTCCGCAGCCCTGGCTGGTGTGGCTCGGTTGATGGGAATGGCATCCCATAAGTCAAAAGGTCATGGGTTCAATTTCCAGTCAGGGCACATGCCCACCTTGCAGGTTTGGTCCCCTGTCAAGGTTTGTTCAGGAGGCAACCAAATGATGTTTCTCATGCATTGATTTCTCTCCCCTCCCCTACTTCCTTCTCCCTCACTCTCTGTCTCTCTCTTTCTCTCTCTCTGAAATCGATGGATATATCTTTGGGTGAGGATTTTTTTTAAAGAAGAATAAAAAAAGATGACTCTGCAAAGCACCATAAGAAGTTCATTTCCCTGAGAACTTTAAATACAATGCAAATCACATTGTTGACTTGTAAATGTTGTGTCTCAACATTTCAAACTGTCACACTGATCACTTACTAACCTATGATGTCCAAAACAAATAGACAACAGTTTTGGAGCAAACCAAGATAACCACATGTCGTGAGCCAAAAGAAGATCTCTGTAGAGGGACTACCTACAGCTTCTATCCTAGTTTTTACCAGTTTTACCTAGTTTTCACATTCTTCTTGAAGAAAAACACTTGAGGTCAGGCTCTTTCCAGTTCCTCCATCTTGGAGGGATAAAAAGCAATCCAGAAGAAGGGCTGTGCCACAAATAACATGATTTAGAGCAGCAATTGTGCTTTGCCTCATTGCCTGGTTCTTAACCTAAAGCATGGAATCCTGTGCTTGGAAGCTCAGGTCACCCAGAAAGGACGGAGGTAACCAATTACCTCCTTTCACTTTCCTGCCCAGGTTTCAGCTGGGTCCTATTATTGCAGTGCAGAGGTAGGAGACCGCATTCCTTTGATATCCTGTTAGTTAAGCAATTTAAATGCTTCCTTGGGTACCTCCAAGTTGGGGGAGAAAAAGGTTTCTCTTTCTCCACATGCTAAGAAATTGAAGATAACTTTAAATCATAATTAACTACAAAAGATCACCAAAAATGTAAATCTTTTCTTCCTAATATCTGTTTTTCAAGGACTTCCAGGTAGCTAAAATAATCCTAGCTACATTACTAGGATCTCACACTAATCAAAGATAAGAAATACAAAAAATAAAAAAATAAAATACATCTAATAGCTATAGAAATTATGAGGCATTTTCTTAAGAATTTCTCCTTCAAACTCCCCAATAACATAAAGTTGGTCTTGCCTCCAACTGAGGTATTCTTACAGGTAGAAATGGGATTAGTAAGTCAACCTCCTGACTCCAAAATCCTATGCCTTTTTTATTGTTGCCACATGAGGGCCTACTCTCTCTGAAGAATTAAGAATTGGGTGCAGCAATTTGCTACTCAGAAGCCAATTCATTTTAGTTTTGAGGTCAAGGCTGAGTTTTCAGCATCTACAAGACTAGATGGCTGACCTGATAAGGAGGAGTTCTTATCAGGCACTTCATGAGCCAATAAGAAAGGGAGAAATGAGAGACAGAGTGAAATCAGAGATGCGTATGAAACAAAATGTTCCTAAACAACACCCAAGCCATTTTTATAGTATTCTAATCATAAGTCCAGTATTAAAAAAGATGATTGACATTTTTTTCATATCTTTCTCTTACTAAGCTTATTATTTAGGTCCTTCCACAGCCATTCAACTTACATTCCCTAGAAACAACCATCCTCATCCACCTACCCCCCATGGCATCCCACAATAGTTCCCAGAATCCATAAATTCAAAACACTACATCTTTCTCTATGTCCATCCATGGATTCACTGATGAATTCTACCAAACATTAAAAAGAGTTAGTACTAATCTTTATCAAACTCTCCCAAAAAATAGAAAAGGAAGGGACATGTTGAAACTCATTTACATCCAGTATTACCATAATACCAGGCCAAACAAGGGCAGTACAAGAAAAGAATATTACAGACCAATATTCCTGATAACACAGATGCAAAAATCCTCAACAAAATATTAGCAAACTAAATTCAACAGTACATAAAAAAGGTTACACAACAAAATCAAGTGGGATATATTCCAGGGATGCAATGATAGTTCAACACACAAATCAAACAATATGATACACGACATTAACAAAATAAAGTTTAGATTAAAAAAATCTTATGATCATCTCAATCAATGCAGAAAAAATTTGGCAAAATGACCATCCATAATAAAAACTCTCAACAAACTTGTGCATAGAAGGAACATACCTCTACATAAAAAATACCAGATACAACAAGCCCACAACTAACATAATACTCAATGGTAAAAAGCTGAAAGCTTTTCCTCTAGGATCAGGAACAGGATAAGAATGCTCACTCTCACCACTTTTGTTCAACATAGCACTGATACTGTTAACCAGAGCAATTGGCAAGAAAAAAAAATAAAAGGCATCCAAATCATAAAAGAAGATGTAAAATTGTGTCTGTAGATGACATGATATCTACAGAGTTCACCTAAAACCTGTGAGAACTAATAAACAAATTCAGTAAGGTTGCAGGATACAAAATCAAAATACAAAAAATCATTTTAATTTCTGTACACTAACAAATTATTTGAAAGAAAAATTAAGAAAACAATCCAATTTATAATTCAATTTATAAAAGGACAAAGTGCTTAGGAAAAAATTTAACTGAGGTAAAAGATCTGTATGCTGAAAACTATAAAATGCTGAAAAAGAAATTGAAGAAAACATAAATAAATAGATATTCCATGACCATGAATCAAAAGAATAACATGTTTAACATGTTCATACTACTCAAAGTTCTATACAGATTCAATGCAGTCTTTATCAAAATACTAATGGCATTTTTATCATAAATAGAATGAACAATCCTAAAATATGTATGAAACCATAAAAGATCCCAAATCGCCACAGCAATATTGAAAAACAACAAAGTTGGCAGTGTCACATTTCTTGATTTCAAGTTCTATTACAAAGCTAGAGTAATAAAAACATATGATACTGACACACACAAACAAAAAAAACCAGACACATAGATCAATGGAAGAGGATAGAGAGCCTAGAAAGACACTCGCACACATATAAGCAATTAATTTAAAACAAAGGAGCCAACAATATACAATAGGGAAAGGTAGGTCTTTTCAAATAATGCTGTTGGAAAACTGGAGAGTCACAGGCAAAGAAATGAAACTGGACTCATATCTTATACTATACTCAAAAATAAACTCAAAATGGATTAACGACTTGAATGTAAGACCTGAAGACATAAAACTCTAGAAGAAAACATGAGTCTTGGTAATAATTTTTTTTGGATTTGACATCAAAAGAACAAAAATTTTTTTTTAAATGTGTGACTACATCAAACTACAGAGCAAAGGAAACCATCAACAAAATAAAAATGTGAGAAAATATTTACAAACAACAGATCTGATAAGGAATTAATACATAAAAAACTCATAATTCAATTAAAAATGGGCAAAAGAACTGAATAAACATTTTTTTAGAGAATACCTACAAATAGCCAACAGGTGTATGAAAAGGGGTAAACATCATTAGTCATTAAGGAAATTCAAATCAAAACCACAATGAGCATCACCTCATACCTGTTAAGATGTCTATTATCAAAAAGACAAGAAATAACTACTAGCAAGGATGTGGATAAAACCCTGTACACTCTTGGTGGTAATATAAACCAGTACAATCACTATGTAAAACCATAAGGTGATTCCTCAAGAAGTTAAACATAGAACTACAATGTGACCCAGCAATACTACTCTGGATATATACCCAAAGAAAATGAAATCACTGTCTCAAAGACTATCTGTACTCCCATGTTTTTAAGGCTAAATAATGTTTCATTATTTATATAAATATATTTATTATATATTTACATAATGTAATATTATTCAGCTTTTAAAAAAAGAAGAAAATTCTGTCATTTATGTTTACATGGAGGAAACTGGAGAACATTATGCTTAGTGAAATAAGCCAGACAAAGACAAATACTGCACAGCATCACTTATAGGTGGAATCTCTTTAAAAAAAAAAAGTTTAATTTATAGAAAAACAAAGTACAATAGTGATGGCTAGGGGCTATGGTTGGGGGAAGTAAGGAGAGGCTGGTAAAATGGTAAAAAGGTACAAACTTTAAATTATAAGATGACTATGGTCTAAGAGTCTATTTTATAACATGGTGACTACAGTTGATAATACTGTAATGTATAAATGAAATTTGCTAAGAGAGTAAAGCTTAAGTGTTCTCACCAAAAATAAATAAATAAATAAATATGATGATGGATGTGTTAATTAACCTGATGGTGTTGGATACTTTCACAATGTAGACATATATCATTTATCA